GAATAAACCACTGTACCGTTCTGTCTCCAGTCGGGGTCTCGAGCACTAACGGAACATAAAGTGGAGCCCGGTTTGTTATTCTCACTCACATATGCGCTGTACGACTGCTCCTCAAACACAGGTGGGTTGTCGTTGATGTCAGCTACAGATAACTGAACACTTTCAGAGGAGGACAGAGGTGGAGAGCCCTCGTCAGTGGCAGTGATTGTAATGTTGTAATCAGATACTAGTTCACGGTCCAGTTGTCCTGTCGTGACCAGAGAATAATAGTTTTTAATAGAAGGAACCAACTTAAAGGGGACACCCTGCTGGATGGAGCAGCGGACCTGTCCGTTATTCTCAGAGTCTTTGTCCTGCACGTTAATGATTCCCACCTCTGTACCAGGTGACGCGTTCTCGGGTATGGAGTTAGATAGTGATTTTAAACTAATCCCAGGTGGGTTGTCATTTACATCTGACAGCTCAATTATTACTTTTGAGTCTGAGGTAAGACCATATCCGTCTTTAGCATCTACACGCATTTCATAAACGGACTCTTCTTCAAAATCCAAAGGTCCGATTACCTTTATTTCTCCTGTGATATGATTTAAATCAAATGCTCTTCTACCAGTCTCTGATATACGACTCAGCTCATAAGTCACCTTACCATTTAGACCTTCATCTGCATCAGTTGCAGCCACTTTAACCACTACAGTATATAAAGGAGAATTTTCAGGAAGACTGGCTTTATACACAGCTTGACTAAAAACCGGAGCGTTATCGTTAGCGTCTAAGACAATTACATGCACGGTAGTCGTACCACTTCTTTTAGGACTGCCCCCATCCAATGCAGTAAGCAGTAATCGGAATTCCCGCTGTTCCTCGCGATCTAATTCCTTTTGCAACACTAGTTCAGCAAATTTGCCTCCATCTAGTTTAGTCTGCATTTTCAGCACTAGATAACTGTTAGTCTGCAACACATATCTTTGAACAGCGTTTTGTCCAATATCGAGATCGTGTGCTTCCAAAATACGGAAACGGGATCCCTTTACAGCCAATTCATTGATTTCTATTTTTATTTCATCTTTCGCAAAAACAGGTTGATTGTCATTGATATCTTGTATTTGTAATGAAATTTGATGTAACATAAGTGGCGCCTCTAAGACCAATTCAGATTTGAGGATGCAAGATGCCTTTTCGCCACAAAGAGCCTCTCTATCAATCCTCTCAGCTACAATTAAATCGCCAGTGCTTGGATTTATGTCACAATACCGTTTACGGTTCAGATCGCTGTCAATGCGGGCCTTTCGAACAGATAATTCCCCCACGTTCAGTCCGAGGTCCCTTGCTACATTTCCTATGATAGATCCGGTCTTCATTTCCTCGGGAAAAGAATAGCTCACATCTCCATAGCCGAAGTGAAAGGATTGAAGAAAGAAAGCAAAGCTGTATAGCAGGCCCGCCACCGAATTTCTAATGTGTGCCATCTTTGGACAAAAAATACAAAGAAAAACACTCGAAAACGTTTAACAGTCCAAACTGTATCAGTGCGAAAACAAGTGCGCTCTTTTCACATCAGTTGTAATCGAAAATATTTCCAGAGAATGGTGGACAAAAGCAGACCCAAAGGGACAGTTTGACAATGACAAGACTGCATTAACACTAACAAACCAAGAGCTATGGGTGGAGGTATGTTTCCACTGCTGGTAAACAGCGACTCTCTGAGTTCAAATGCGTTGTCTGCACGTGAAATATTTAACTTGCAGACAACGCATTGGTTTCCTTTATGACCACAGCACACACAGCACACTACTTAAAAAAAAAAAGGGGGGGGGGGGGGTTACAGCTAAACGAATTGTCAATTTATATTTTAATACCGATCTGGGTAGGCAACATTTTTCGACTGCTAAAAACATTAATTACTAAAGAAAATTAGTAGTCCCAGTAACCAAAGGAGCTTGCAAAGAAAAGCGTCTGGACTTCTTTAAGTTACTTGAAAACGTCCCAGTAACGTCCACGTTCAATTACCATTTCACTGGTGCGCATTCTCCCTAAAAAATGGAAAATGCATAAGTAGAGTAAATACAAACATAAGCACTCATCTTCGGGTAGAGTAAGAAGTATAAAAACATGAAAAATCAAATTAAGAAGCTTTAAATATCATCCACAAACTCAATTATGCAATAAGAAAAATCACAAGCCAGGGAAAATATTCATCAGAGAAATAAAATGAATTACAATATTGAGCTTAATCAAGTGTTTTCCTGATTCGTGAGGGTCCATTTATCAGTACGGGCAAATGTAACCTCCTTGGAAAGGAAATAACCCATGATTGCTATTGAGAATTACCATCTGAATAATACCGTAGATTTTAAAGACAGCAAGCATTCTTGTACTGTAACTGAATCTCTAAAGGAGAGGGTGATGACACTTTTTCAACCTGTTGGAAAGTTATGAAGTCCATGGCAAGGTGAGTGTTTGTTACTTTGTTGTTTTTTAATTTGTTAAGTTAAGAACCTCAGAATACCAAACAAAGAGCAATTTGAACTTTAACATGTCAATCTGAATTATGATAGTTCATATATCAGCAATATCTTCTGCATAGAATTTTTGCTTTTGATATCTATTACTAATTTCTATTAACCATATAATGCCAGAGAAAGACTCCATCACTTTGGAGTATCTCTCTGGCATTATATGGTTAATACATCCTTTCAAATGGGAAAAGTTCATTTTTAATTCTGGACTTGGAAAAAGTAAAACCTGACAAGTAAAGTCAATTCTTTTTCCATTTCTATAGCCAAATGTTTTTTTTTCTTAATTATCACTCCACTAAATCTTTCTATTATGTAATGAAATGCAGCTTCTAATACACATGCTGAAGTTCATAGTTCAGAAGAGAAAATTAAAATGCATGACAGTGACATAAAAATAGATTTAAGGACACTGTTTCTACTAAGGCAGTATCTGACTACAATATGACTGTTCTCATTAATATTAAATGAAATAAAATATATAGAATTAAACACCTAAAAAAGATTCCGAATATCTATAGAAGAAAGTTTGATTGGTGAAGGTGCAAATTTATCCCCCAAAAAAAGATTTATAAATTTAACGCCAGTAAAAAAAAGTCATACCTCTAGAGACATATCTGATTCTTCAAATGCATCAGCAAAATCTGATGGACTTCAAAGAATATATTATAAATGTAAAAACTTAAAGACATAACAAAACACTGCAATTTTGATAACGCGGTTATTTCAGAATCCTACCTCTATTGAAGTATCGAGATCTTCAAATGGATCAGCAAAGTCTGATGGACTTTTCTTCAGAGTCTGGTCAGCAGGCAGCGTGTTGTCATTGTATGATGTCACAAACTTAAAGTCACTGGTTCTAGATCCCGTGGTCAGGTATGCGTCATAATTGTAAGTGCTGCGTAAAGTTCCTGTGCCATCAACATCTGCGTAATTGGGAGGGAGATAACCACTGGGGATGGCTACTGCTCCATCAAACAACAGTCGGGGCTTTCTCCTGCGACAAAACCTCAAACCGAGGATGATGATGATGAAAGTCAGAAAAAACGTGGAGACAGACACCAGCGCGATGATCAGATAAGAGGTCAGTTTGGAATTGCTCTCATTATAAGACAGATCCTTCAGTTCGGGTACCTCAGCCAAGTTATCAGAAATAAGTAAATAAATGGAACAGGTGGCAGACAGAGAGGGCTGTCCGTTATCTTTCACTGCCACTACAAGGTTCTGTTTCATGCTGTCAGATTCAGAAATGTCCCGCTGTGTCCTAATCTCTCCGCTGTGGACACCAATGGTAAAAAGTCCCGGATCAGTGGATTTGACTATTTGATAGGACAGCCAGGCATTCTGTCCGGAGTCCGCGTCCACCGCGATCACTTTGGACACCAGAGAGCCTCCGTGTGCAGCTTTGGGGACCA